AGATGGTTGGTCCTCAAACTCTCTTCTCCAAAATACTAGTATTCTAAGGCTGGACCAATTTAAATAAGAATAAAGAATAGGATTTTGTTAACTCTGAATTTTTTATCTCACACAATTTTGTTAACCCTTTGTTGCTACTGGTGCAAATGATTTTAGCCAACACTGGGATGTGACAAATGAACAAGTAGCAGAAGTTGGCGGAAAATTTGGGAATACCTAATCTTTCTTGATTGAATAGTTAAAAAAAAAATAGCCAAGTGAAGCTGAATGTGATTTTTATATAGCCTATTAGTGGAGTCATTTACTCTGGAATCACAACTCAGGCCAAGTGTTCTTAGTTTTTGGGATGAGAAGTAGTATAGAATAGCAGCTGAGCATGTGGGCTCGGCACCTGGATGCCCAGGGTCACATTGTCGCTCTGCTGCTTGCAGCTTTGTTACCCAGGGCAAGTCATTTAAACTCTTTCTGTCACAGTCTGTCACCTATAAAATGGAGATATAATATACCTACTTCACAGGTTATTGCAAGGATTAAATAAATCAATACATGTGAAGTACTTAGAGCATGTCTGATACATAATAAGTGCTGTACAAATGTTAGATATTATTTTGTGATATAAACAAATATATCAATATTTTGTGCTGCTATGACTCTAGGGGCCCTGTCATCTGAACATATTTGAGAACCATGGTCCTAGAATTTCTCATCTAGTTCTGAAATTAGTTCCATTATTCTATGCCATAGAATTGGATTTCCCATAATTCTTCTTTCCCTTTTTTATAACTCAATGCCTTAAGAAAGATCTGATTTCTATATATATAGAGTGAAATCACTTATTTTTCAGTTACTACATGGAATCTATCTTAAATATGAGTTTAGAGGGATGTCTTTTCTCTCTCTTGACATAAAGGTGTTTTGTGTTATACACAATTTACAATTGTTACCCATTTATTAAATACCTAATATTCTTAGGTTCTTTATCCTTATTGATGAAGGAACTGAAGCAAGATTAAGCAAATTGCTAAAAGCTGTAAGATTTTAAGCTAGGTTGTCTGACTCTAAAGCCAAGTTCCTAGTCCAGTGACTGTAGTATCTTAAATGGTAACTCACAGCCGGGCTCAGTGGCTCAGCCTGTAATCCCAGCATTTTGGGAGGCCAAGGAAAGTGGATTGCCTGAGCCCACAGGTTCGAGGCCAACCCAGGCAACTTGGCGAGACCTCGTCTCTACAATAAATCAAAAATTAGCTGGGTGTGTTAGCATGCACCTGTAGTTCTGGCTTCTTGGAAGGCTGAGGAAAGGAATGCGGGAGTCCTGCAGGTCGATGCTGGGGTGGCTGTGAGCATGCGTGCCACTGCACTCCATCCTGGGCAAAGGAGTGAGACTCCAAATCAAAAAAAAAAAAAAAAAAAAAAAGCAAGACCAATCATCACTCCTAACAGAGACTAATTTCTATGTAAGTATTCCTCAAGAATATTCTTTTTATGCTTGGGTCAGCAAAAGTCACCATATAGCTAGCTCATATTCACTGAAAGAAAGGTGAAAGATTAAGTTATTAACAATGAGCAATTCCTTGTGCACCAGGCCAGAGAGTCTCTGGGCCCAGCTGTTCCTTTTTTGCCCTTGAGGAACCTTCCTGTAGGAACGCACTTCTTCCCTTGCCTTGCAGGGAGGAGGTGTATGGCAGGAGAGAATACCCAGCAGCTCTCCAGTCTCCTGACACCTGGTATCTACATCCTACCCAGCCTCTTGAGCTACCTTGAGGTTTCCCCACTGCCAGGCAGCATAGGGCTGGTGTGGTGTTTCTGTATTGCGTTGTTGATGGTGCAGGTATGGGTATTGGGAGCTCAGGATAATATCAGGGAGAGAACAATGGATATCACCCCCCCCGTATTTGTCCCCCCCAAGTTTCTGTGATGCATGGTCCCCTTCTGTCTGGGTTGCTTCCTGGGCCCATCCACCACTCTCTCCCCAGATTTCAGCCTCTTTTATTTTCTTTCTCACATTTTTTTTTTGAGTTGGAATCTCTGTTGCCCAGCTGGAGTGTGGTGGCATGCTTGCAGCCCCCCCAGCCTCGACTTGCTGGGCTCAGGCAATTCTTCTGCCTCAGCCTTCCAAGTAGCTAGAACTATAGGTGTGTGCTACCATGCCCGGCTAATGTTATTTCATTTTATGATTGTTTAAATTTTTTTATTTTAAAATTGTGGCATACAATTCAGGGTTAGGTATACAAATATTCACTGTATAGGTACCCTTGTTGATGAGGTATGTCCCCCCTTCCCCAGACAGTTTTCCACTACTGCCAATCCCACTTCCCCACCCCCCAAGCCCCTGCAGTTTCCCACTACTATCATTCCTTTTCTTATGGTATTACAATAGTTGTTCAAGATCCACTTATGAGTGAGAACATGAGATACTGTGAAAGATCACTCAGTATTATAGACTCTAAGTCCATCCAGGTTGCTGCAAAGTTTATGATTTTGTTGTTCTTTATGGCTGTGTAATATTTCATTGTGCATATGTACCACAGTGTTTTTATCTAGTCCTCTTTTGATGGGCAGCACGGTTGGTTCCATATTCTTGCTATTGTGAACATTGCTGTGATAAACATATGTAGGTATCTTTTTTATACAGTGATTTGAGTTCTTTCGGGTATATTCCCAGTAGAGGGATTGCAGGGTCCTATGGAAGGTCAATTTTTAGAACTTTTAGGAATTGCCACACTGTTTTCCACAGAGGCTATACTAGTTTACACTCCCACCAACAGTGTAGAAGTGTTCCTTTTTCACCACATCCTCTCCAGCATTTGTTATTTTTTGAGTTATTGATGATGGCCATTCTGACTGGAGTTAGATGGTGTCTCAGTGTAGTTTTCATTTGCATTTCTTTGATGACTAGTGAGGCTGAGCATTTTTTCATGTATCTGTTAACTGCTTGTATGTCTTCTTTTGAGAACTGTCTATTCATATCTTTTGCCCACTTTGTAATGGGGGCTGTTTGTTTTCTTTTCGCCATGTTTGAGTTCCTTGTAGATCCTAGATGTTATTATTATTATTTTGAGTTGGAGTCTCACTCTGTTGCCCAGGCTGGAGTGCAGTGGCACACTCACAGCCACCCCAGCATTGACCTGCTGGGCACTGATGATTCTTGTGCCTCAGCCTTCCAAGTAGCGGGAACTACAGGTGCACACTACCACGCCTGGCTAATTTTAAAAAAAAATTTATTGTAGAGACGAAGTCTTACCAAGTTGCCTGGGCTGGTCTGGAACCCATGGGCTCAGGCAATCCTCTTGCCTCGGCCTCCCAAAGTGCTGGAATTACAGGCCACCATGTCTGGCCTTCTCACAATTTTTATGTTTACTGTATGGGTCTGTCAGTCTCTCTGTAACTTCTTTCTGTGGCATATCAAGTGCTGAATTTCAGGGAGGAAGCCAGCAGTTTATGCTAGTTAGTTAGTTCATAATGAGCCGGAAATGTTTGTTTATGAGTGCATTGTCTGGAATATGGTATACTTTCCATATCAATAATGACGTGTCTGGCATATAAGGTGTCAGGCCAGTGCAGAAACCACTGTTGATTCTTAATGTTTCTGAGGTTAGTAATGTACTAATAGTCCTGCAGAACTTAACCACTATGTGTCACAACATTTTCAGGTGCAATTGTATTTATAATTCAGCTAGGGATCCCAGGTACACATCTACCATTGAAGGGAGATCTGGGTCTCTACTTCCACCTCTACATGCAAGTGATGAAGACAGGAGTTTCTGGGTTCTAAATCTGAGGGGTCTGCAGTAGTGGCTTTAACCGTGAAGGGCTCAGTAATGATAGGAATGTGGCTGGTGGAGGGTGAGGGTGAGGTCTGCAAGTGAGCTGCAAGATGGGAACTCAGAGCTCCTGAGAGGGCGAGTGATGGCCGATGCCTGCCCAGTCTTATTGAACTAGCTAGAAAAGTAGGGGCTCAGTTTTCCTTCCTACTTCCCTATACTCTCTCTCTCTTTCTTTCTTTTTTTTTTTTTTTAAGTCAGAGTCTCACACTGTTACCCAGACTAGAGTGCAGTGGCATGCTCATGGCCACTGCAGCCTAGATCTGCTGGGCTAGGTAATCCTTCTGCCTTAGCCTTTCAAGTAGCTAGAACTACAGGCATGTGCTGCCATGTCGTTAATTTTTTGATACATTGTAGAGACGAGGTCTCACCAAGTTGTCCAAGCTGAACCCTTGAGCCCAGGCAATCCTCTTGCCTCTGCTTTCCAAAGTGTTGGGGTTACAGGCATGAGCCATCGAGTCTGACCCCCTTATTCTTCATCACTGTAAGTCTTACCCTGCAGGTGTCACCATGGGTTGTGTTGGGAGGTAGACTGCCCTCTCCCACTAGATTGGGTGTTTCCTGGGAACAGGGTTTTTATCCCCACTACCTGCCATGTACTAAACAATGTGTTTGATGTTCACCAAGCGTGAAGACAACTGCTACCATTTCTTTTTTTTTTTTTGAGTTGGAGTCTCACTCTGTCACCCAGACTAGAGTGCAGTGGCTGCTCCCGGCCACCGCAGCCTTGACCTGGTGGGCTCCGGCGATCCTTCCGCCTCAGCCTTCCGAGTAGATGGAATTACAGGCATGTGCTACCATGCCCGGCTGATTTTTTGATTTATTGTAGAGATGAGGTCTCGCTGCCCAGG